GTGTACAAGACGTACAGGTTTCCGTACAGGTTCCCGTACAAATCCCGTACATATATTACCTGTACGTTTCGTACGGAAAGGTCCCATACATGTACTCTATGCAACGTAGCACCCTGGCAATACCAAGGAACCTGCGACCCATCCCCCTGGGCCGTCACCGAGGGTCATGACCCACCTATTCTCTTTGATCGTTGGTTGTATAATCCCCGAGTGCAAATCATGTCGTGCCCGCAATCCACTTCATTCGATCGAGTGTGCGCCTGTCCTTCAAAATGAGTGTTGCCCTCCCTCCAAGAAGGATGATATTGCGGAGCTTCACTCCTAGGACACTACGTGACACCTGGGGCCTAGGCGGCGCGCAATTCGGCAACCGCGACCTAAAAGTCGGTCACGCCACACGAGGCTCTCTCCGCGGCCGGATTTTTTTTTTTTTTTTGGTAAAAAAAGCAATGGAAAAAAAAAAAAAAAAATATATATATATATATATATATATATATATATATATATATATATATATATATATATATATATATATATATATATGGTTGTAGGCCTTGGAAAAACGTAGAAGCCTATATTCTTATCGTTTGAATCCAATTTCATTTATGATTTAAAAAAAAAAATCAGTAAAAGTACTAAAAAAAAAACAAAAAAAGTCGATATTTTTTTTCCCATTTTTTAAGAAGAGTGATATGGTCGAACAATCATCCTGTATTTTTGGAATTTTTTGAGGGGGGGGTATTTTTGTGACATTGGTTGTGGAAAAAAAAAACAAAAAGCAAAAATTCAAATTCAAAACAAAAAAGAGCTACGCTAGGCTTGGTGTGGTCTGGGTGGTGGGGGACCACCCCCAACAGGGAGAATGAGCAACACAATTTGTGTTGCCATTATGATATCACATAAATCTGTTATTATTGTGATAAGGCAACACAAATTGTGTTGCTCCTGTTGATGACAACAACACACACACACACATATATATATATATATATATATATATCGTCAAATAGAATATATATATATATATATATATATATATATATATATATATATATATAGAGAGAGAGAGAGAGAGAGAGAGAGAGAGAGAGAGAGAGAGAGTCACATGGGGTATTGCCACGTGGCAATCCACGACCGAGGTCGTGAGGCCTAGCGCCGAGGAGGGGGACATGGACAGCGACTGAGGCCGTGGCCTGCGGGGCCAACACCGATAAGTTTTTTGTTTTTTTTTTTGAAAAAAAAAATTCTTCTTCTTCATCTTCTTGTTCTACTTCGTTGTTCTTCTTTTTCTTCTTCGTTTTCAGCATGTTGTTTTTAGAAACCCGGTATGATAAACCTAGTTTTGTCGACAGATGCGAATAGATGCCGCAACCATAGAAAGGGTAACGCCATAAGAAGCGCGAGCCATGGATGGGTAAAGGGGGATTTTTTTGAGAATAAGAGAATTGAATGCCAAGAACATCTGGTATTCTGTGAGCCTTCAGTATCGAGAAAAGCGATTAAATCATGAGATCCTTGTCATACATGAACACTTCGAGTAATGCACACCTGATCAAGAATTGTCCTCAAAGCAGTCTGGCATCCATGTAGTTTAAAACGTATGGAAATGGGTGTAGCGTGCCTTATTTAAGGTTGGCAGTAAAGTTGAATAGATAGCTTTAGCAGACTGCCCCATCAAGTCAAAAACCCGCTCGAGGTCGGGCTTCGGGGTGATATTCTTCTCGACATGATTTGAGTCGTTCTCGCCCGATTGGATCTTCTATCTATCTATCTATATGTATATTTATTTTGATTGCACACCTCTCAACGATATCAGTTTCGCCGGCGGCATGACCGTTCGGTAGTTATGAGATTGTCTTTCTACATAGATGTGTTTTTTTTCTATTGACTATAACTGGTCTATTTTCGAGTTGTGAAGATATTGCAGTAGTTCTTTTATGAATTATGTACACGGGACTAGAAGTGTTTGTGGTTTTCACGTTTGGTTGAGACCGACTTAATCGACCGAAGTTCGTTTCGTACCTAGGAGATCAGCGCTCTTGGGAATGAACAATGTTCAGGTTTAGATGGCGTTTTAAGTTTTAACCAACCTTACTTATATTGAAGTGTCCTTAGGGAAGGTAAGTTGTGCCTCACGGGAACCTATCTTGTCATAGGGGACCACGAGAAGTACGGTTGAGGCACCCGGCTAGAGCGGCGAAGTGACATCGCAACCGCGCCTGTCTTGGCGGTTCTTAGGATCAGTTATGCCCCAAGCTGTCTCTATTTGTTTTGTTTAACTGTTGTGTGTGTGTTTTTTTTGAACTCCTGTGTGACATGGCCAGGAAGACTCTCGCCTTTTGCGAAAAGGCGGAGGCCAATGCGCTCGACAAGTGGCGTTGTTGCTGGGGACAATGACTACCTATCGTTGTCTCTAGTGGAATAACACTCAAATATTTATTTTTTGATGGATTTATTCATCATACTTTGACTTCTTCAAGCTTATTTGGTTATCCTCAATGATTGATTTCGCTATCAATCAAGTATTGTTTTTATTTTGGAGTTAACGTTGGGTATTTTGATTGTCTCAATCAGATATTATGTTGTGACCTTCGGGGGAACATTTAGGTGATAATCTTTTTACTTCCATCGTAATGATTATCGTCATTTGATTGGTTTTCTCTAAATTTTGGAATACTACCAACCAAATGTTAACAACGTCATGAGATTAATGTTCTTATCGCGTTTTCTCTAGTAAGATATTTAGATTTATTGAAATGATCATTAGTGGGTGGATTTTTTGTGGAATATTGTTAACCAAGGTTGGCCTTCCTTTTATGTTATCTTACTGGCTACCTCGGTTATGCATTGTATTTTGGGCTCCTATATTTGGCTGATATATGTTTTGATCGGTCAACACAGTCAGTCTACCTGGATCCCCATTCATTTTGAGATCATCTATCTTATATGTATGACATTGTATGTGATGCATTTTCATAGCATGAATGCATCTTCTCTATCATTGGAAGTTGTTGGTTTTGATCATTATGACATTCCATGTGAAAGCATTTATTATGAGCCGTATCATTGTTGTTGAATATTTCTGTTGAAGTTGTTGTTATGTCTTGATAGTTGTCTGATAAAATTATAAGCTTTGTAGGTGGTAGTGAGGCTTGACTCATTAGGAAGCTCTACCTAACCGATGATACTAAAAGTGATAATCCACATTAACCCCGATTGTGGTTAAGGATCAACCACTGCCCGGGAACTGCACCTTGAGATGGGCACAAACCACAGTAAAAGGTATCCGTGAAGAAAATCAAAGTACAGTATCACTCCCCACACCAGACGGAAAATTCTACAGGTTGCAGGGTCACACCAAAAACACCCATGAAACAAAGAAAGGTCTGTCACGGCCAGAACATACACTCCGGACACACCGCTTGCACAACATGGTCGCGTGGTGACAGCCCTGACCACAAACGTTCAACCTGACCATACAGAGATGGTCTTCAACGTCGTTTGAAGCAGCTGAGATACTTATTTGGTGCCATAGTCTGGAACTGCCAACGACCGTAGACGATCTTTATTTTGTGCTCTGCTATCATTCTAAAGTAGGAGGTGCAGCGGGCCGAGAGAAATGGTCTTCAATGGCATTTGGAACGACGAAGATATTTGCCATGTGTCATAGCTTGGGACTGCCACCGGGCGTAGCCAGTCTTCACTTCGCATATCCCCCTTGTCTGAATGCCGCTGAAGACCATCTCTCTCCCGCCGTCGTACCTCCGGCTCCAGAACGGCAGTAGGGCCGGTGGTAGTCCCAAGCTATGGCAGCAGGTAAGTATCTCCGCTGTTCCAAATGGCACTGAAGACCAATTATCTGCCTCCACCGTACCTCCTACTCTAGCACTGCTGCTCAAGATAACATTTCTCTCCAACAGCCTGTCACCAAGTGAACTCAAGCTCGCTCATCCCCAAGATGAGAACCGTCCCAACAATAAACTCCTAGGCCTATTGGGAAGCCTACCGGACTATATTCAAAACCATTCAATCCAAACCAGGATCAATGGTTCTGGATGCAACCCCAAAACCTACTCCAGCATCTGGGCTAAAAGCAGCTGGCCAGCTCCCTACCAAATCTCCAGGCAGCCTTGCTGATGCAGCAGGATAAGTCCAGAACAGACAAGGGTTGAACCAGGCACCTACGGACAAACCCAGGTGCAACCCGAGTGTGGATAAAACCTCATGGGTCTAAAAAATGGTCCAGAGTGAAAACCAGAAGTCAACTGGTCTTCCTCTGGGACATCCGTTAAAATTGGAATGGTACAGACTATGTAGCACCGTGTTGACATTCGGAGGCGAACGTGAACATGTTTGCCCGAACGCGAACAAGCGCCCAAAACCCTGAGAACGCGAACATAAAAAATATTAAAAATAAATAAAAATAAAAAAATTATCAGAAAGATCTGAAAACAATAACAACACAATCTACTTTTGCCTTAGAGTCATGTTCAAATTCGTAGCCAATCATGAGTTAAAAATCAAAAACGGATTTATTTTTTTTTAATACGAAAAAAAATAATATTCACCCGAACATGTCCGCGAGCTGTTCGTGCAAATGCGCGAACATGAAGGGGCGTGAACACGTTCGCCGTGCTAAGCAAGGTACATAGAAGATTAGCATAGCCCCTACGCAAGGATGAGAGACATAAATTGAGAAATGATAGTCCATTGGTCCAAAAAGGCAGCAGTGCCTGTCCTGACAAGGCGAAAATCCGAACGCGCCTCCGAGTCCAGACAAAACCTGGAACATGGAAAAAACAGCACAAAATCAAAGGAATAAAATAATCTGCACAAAAACAAATATCAGAACCGACAAGGACAAGTGACAAACCAAGAGACTGAATCATGGAAGCAGGGGGGGGGGGGACGAGGACGGGAAAAGAATTATAAAAAAGCCAAAAGGAGAGCAGAACTGGAAATAAGATCCTGGAATGTACACGGTCTGACAACCATCCTATCCTCACCTGCAAAATGGTACAGCTTGACAGCCAACACAAACAGGTTCGACAAGGATCCCCCAAACATAATCTGCCTGCAAGAAACCCATCTCACAAACTCAGAAGAACATCAATCCATCAAAGACGAAATAGTTAGAAGACTAAGGAACGTTAAGAGAATAGAATGGGTGAACAACCCAATATCATCCTCTGCAGGAGTCATGGTGATATTCAATAGCAGAGCCAGGATAGCGCAAACCCTAATCACAGAACAAGTCACAATAGACTCTATAGGTGGAAGATGGATCAGAATAGACTTCAATCTTAGGCAAGAGGAACTCACTTTACTAAATGTGCATGCACCAAACGCCAACACCCAAAGGAAACAGGTCTTAGAGACAATCAAATAGGAATGTCCAAACCTTCGCCATACCATCACAGTAGGAGATTGGAATGCCACAATGAACCCCATACTAGACCGAATAACACATGCAAGAGAGGGGCTAGACGAGTCAGAAGCACAAGTTATGATAGAATTCGCAACCGAAAAGAAATTAGTAGACCCTTTAAGAACAAGCTACCCAGAAGCAAGAAAATTCACCTGCACCAGAAAAAACAGCTCAAGGAAGAACGTCATTTTCCAGAATAGACTATTTCCTGATTTCAGATTCCTTGATAGGAGCAAGCACAACAAGCACAATTTTCAACCATCCTTACTATGGGGGTTTTGATCATAGACAAGCAGGCCTAACTCTCAACCTAGGTTTAGACGACCAATAGGACCTAGCTTCTTCAAAGCGAACACCTCCCTCCTAAGAACAAAGGGATTCCAGAAATTTGTTAAACAAACATGGGAGAGCTTCGCACCAAGGCTACAGGAGGTTGACTGGTTAAAGAACTTTGCCACAAGCCTACACACACTAAGCAGAGGCATAAGCAAATAATCTAGGAAAGAGACAAGGAAAAAAGATGAAAGACGGGAGCTCCTAAAGGACCTAATCGATACAACAGAATTAAATCTAATACGAGATCTCGGCCCCCCCTTGTACGAATCCCGACTATCATAGGCAAAAGAAGAACTGGAACAATGGGCGAAATGAAAAAGAAGAGGACTAAGCATCAGAGCAAGAATAAAAGACTGGAGAGTAACGAAGCCATAACCAAATTCTTCTTTCAAAATATCAAATCAAACTGTCGGAACAACAGGATAGTAGAGTTCAAGGATGAAAGAGGCACTCCACAAAGAGACCTCAAACAACTCCTGAGAATCGCAGAGGAATTCTACAAGAAACTATATACCTCTCAATCAGATACAGGGCAATAAAAAGGGTCAAAAAAAAATTCACAAAACACTTAGACAAGAATATGAACACCGAAGCTACAACACATCTAGAACAGGATTTATCTCTAACAGAAATACACAGAGTCGTAGTCTCTATGAAACCGAACGAAGTATCGAATATAGATGGATTAACCAAAGAATACTGCCAAGAATTATGGCCAGTACTAGGACATGACATATTTCGTTTCTACCAGAAATCCTTCAAGGAAGGCAACCTAGGGGAAGACATTGGTACATGAATAGTAACACTCCGATACAAAAAGGAAGAGAGAACAGACATATGGAACTACCGACCCATAACACTACTAACAGTAGCTTACAAAATATTAGCAAAAACACTAACTAATAAGATAAATAACATAACAGACAAGTGTTTTCATCTAGACCAAACAGGGTTTATCCCGGGGAGATACATCTTAGACAATGTGGTATGTCTGAACGAGGCAACAAAGCTCATAAGAGATAGAAAAGTACAGGCCGCTATCCTTTGTTTTTTATTTTGAGAAAGGATACGATTAAGTCAATTGGGACTTCCGTCAAATATGCATGGAAAAAATGGGAGTCGGACAAAAAAATCGAAGATGGGTGAAAGTATTATACTCAGAAGCAATGGGGCAAGTGCAAGTGAATGGATTCTTGTCAGAAAAATACAAAATGACCAGATCCGTCAGACAAGGAGACCCCCTAGCGGCACTCATTTTCCCCTTCGTCATGGAAGCAATAGCAGCCTTCCTAAGAAAAGACCCATCAATAAAGAGACTACAGGCCCTAAACAGCTCACAAAACAATTTCACATGCCAACAGCGATGCTATTCGCAGACGACCTAACGGTCCTAATAAGAGCAACGGATTCTTCTTTCCAAGCACTAACAAGAGCAATGCAAGCTTTCCAACTGACATCAGAAATGAAAATAAATTGGAAAAAGACAGTAGGATGGTGGAACCCCCCCAATCACAAAATTAATACAAGGCTTGCAATGGCTTAACTATCAAGATCCAATAAACTTCCTAGGCATCTCGGTGTCAATGACAGGAGCAAGCGACTCAATAACGGACAGTCCATTAGCAGCAGTCATTAGTAAGTATATAGGCTGGCAGAAAGTCTACACCTCACTTAAGGTAGAGCACTAGTCATTAACTCATCTATTTTCTCCATGTTATGGTATACAGCCTCAATATGGGACCCCCCCGCCCAATTCACCAAGAGCCTAAGAAAAAAGGCAGCAACATATCTTTGGACAGACGATGCCTTGAGAGAAAACTACATCACAAAAGTGGCCTGGAAATACGTCATAAATATGTCAAACAAGGAGGCCTCAGTTTAATCGATCCAGCAACGGAATATAAGGCACTCCAAACCAAATGGGTAATCAGACGATTCAGACTACTTCTAAAATTGGAATTACCTTGGCAAGACATGGCAATCCACCAAATCAGAAACCTCCTACCCTTCAAAGCACACAAAAACATCGAAGGGCACATGTGGATCATGAACAAGGACTGGGAACCTAGAAAAGAGGCCGCAAGACTCAGGCCAGGAGGGACAACCCCTACTGAAGACCCCCCGAGCAAGCATTGGACCAACCTGCTCAGAATATGGAGAGAGGCGTTCCCGCAAAGGAGAAGAGGCCCAAAGTCGAAGGAGGAAGTACAGAGACATCCCCTGTTCGGCAACGAACTACTGAAGGACGGAAAGGGACAAATATGGACTCTCAAGGACGAAAGGGAACAAAAGACGGAGACGATGGGTGGAGAATGGCATATGGAAGATAGAACATATATGAGAAGACTGAAAATAGAAAATGGAAAACAGAAAACGAATTAAGACCTCTGCTGAGGGGACACCATAACCTAAGGAGGAACTTACAGGACCTGATAGATAGCGTACCGATAGCATGGAGGTCCCTCCTGAACAAAGATAGAGGATGGAAAAAGGGAGATTGGGCAACGATTAAAATTCAGGAGACCCCCTCAGTAGCGCTAAGATTTAAATCGACATCAAGGACTGACCCTAACCAAGCAATCTTCGACATACACGAGTTGGAACTATCGGGGAAGGCTATAACCATGGCAAGGAGAGAAAGGCTAGAGACGCGCTAATTCAAGACCAGCGACTTAAGAAAGATTAGAGTTCTTAAAACTGAACAAATGAGAGCAGGAAAAAAGAGTCAGAAGGAAAAAGAAACAACCTGGCTTTTTAGAACAAATGAGGACATAACAGAGCTGGAAGTGGACCCAGGGGAATGGGGTTGGTACGAGGATAGGGGTAGAGGGCGAGCAAAGAAATGTAGAGCACTACATGAATACACAGTATAGACAGGTTACAAAACAAGATGTAGACCAGCAAACCCCAACCAGGTAATAGCAAAGAGATGGGAAAAGCACTCACAAACGGACCCCACATACCCTGGGCCTACTATTCCTCAATCAGACTGCAAAAAGTAAGAAGCCTGCAGTGGCTGATAACGCACCTAGCTGTGCCAGTAAACGCATGGTTGACATAAGACGCAAAGAGGGTGATAGAACGGAGACCTCGTCCTACTATATGTGCACAGGAAATCATCCAGAAACCCTGGCACATTGCTTAATAAGCTGCCCTCACGCAGAGGCCTTCTGGGACAAATGCTCAAAAACCTGGCATAAACTAATATCGACGGAATACCCTAAGGACCAACTCTTTCTCTTAACAGCTATAGACAAAGAAGGCACAATCATCGAAGAAAACAACCCAATACTAGAGCTTCTCAGAAAAACCACACTGTGGGTGATATGGAAAGCGAGATGCGGAGGCACACTAAGGAAAAGGACCATCTTGACGAATGAAGCGTAGGAAGAGGGAAGAAAATCGGCGGAAGCGAAATCAGCGTAGAATGGAAGCACGCCCTAAACAAGATGGACAAGCAAACAGAAAACACAAAGAAAATAAAAATTCAAAAAGAATTCGAGGAAGTATGGCTAAAGGGCGAGCTAATAGCCAAGGTCACAGGCAGAACACTCTACTTCACAGACTGGTGCAAACAGACAACGGAGGATAGGGAAGCGCACAACCACCCAACGGATTACATGGAAACAGACGAATAGTCACAACAGAAACACAAGATAGGAACCCATTTCTTACAACAGGAAAAATAGAAAAGAAACTAGTACGACAACCAGAAATCAAAATAGGGAACGACCAACTACTATAACAGGCAAAAAATAGGAAGAAAGAGAACAAAATCATGGGCTTAAGGAAGCAAAAAAGAATATTAAGGCCTCCCAACAATAGGACCCACAGCTAGCTAGCCCCAAAGACTACTGAAATAGAAGAGAACAGAAGCAGTCTCAAACACATTAGAGCCAAGCATCAAGGGGCAAACCCTATGGCGGCGGGAAAAGATAGCCACCAGAACACCACTCTATCCCCCGTAGGATTTCTAAATGGCTATACCTAGGGCCATAAGAGGCAACAATCAGGTCAACCCCACCAACGGAACACAGAATAACGCTCCCATCTACCAGGACTAACAAAAAGAACCACCAGAGCACCACTCTATCCCCCGTAGGACTTCTAAATGGCTATACCAACAAGAACATATACGACCTATAAGGGTGGGGAGGGGAGCTAGGGTTTAGGGTCTTAGTAAAGAACACAGCAAATACAGCCCCACAGAGCACGGCCCATACAAATTTTCACCATAGGACGACGCATCAACAGTTCCAGCACTAGAAAAAATCCAGGAACATGGATAGAGATAGAGAGAGAGTCAGGGGTTAGGGTTTAGCCTGTAAGGCATAAGCCTTAGAAGCTATCTACAACTTCAGATTTACAGAAAACATCATAACATTATCAAGGCCAGAACCCCTAAGGTTTTATCTACTGTAATGACCCGTCAAAACACAGACTGAGAACACTGCTGATTTCTGAAGTTCTGCCGATGGAATGGATGCCTTGCTGAGACTCCCGCATTCTGCTGTGTTTTCTAAGTCTGTCTGTGTGTGCGTGCTTGTGACCTGCGTGCCTGACTGAGTGCTTGTCGGTATGAGTGTGTGTGTGACCCACAAGGGTACTTGCTTGTTTGGTAGGCCCATAGGGCCGGTACTTACCTATGGCCGTGGCATTGAGGGTTGTAGCAGGGAAAAACACTCAAGTGGCGAAGCTAGCGGCCCTGAGGCCCTTGGGGTAGCGGAAAAACACTCAAGTAGGCCGGTAGGCCGATACTGCACCCCACTGCAGTTGGCGTGAGGGGGTACTGGAGGCCGAGCAGAAAAAGACAAAGTTGGCATTTTTAAAGTCCTGTAGCGGTAGGGTAGGTCTAGGCCGGTACCAGTCCAACCAGTCTGAGTCTAGAGCCTGTACGGGTAATATCAGGGTCTGCAATGATGTTTCCCTCCGAAACGGAGGAGGTACCGGTTGCTTGGAGAGGCCGAGCGGCCTGGAAGTCACCGCCCAGGAGGCAAGTAGGSCGCTATATCAAGAGGCAGGGCAAAGAGCCCGGCCTCATTCTTCAGTGTGCGAGTTGGGCGTCACGCTGCTGGAGCGCTAGGTGGTGTAGCGCTGGGCACTACAGCGCTGCTGGGAGGAAGAAGCCGGGAGCTTCCACCTTGGCTATGGTGGAGCTCTACCGGTAGGAGGAGGAGGGAGAAGGGGACCAAGGAGGAGAGTGGCGAGGTACTTACTGGCTATGGTGGACACCATCTTCATCTCCTTGCTAGGCGCTGCATCAGGAAGGCCCCGGTGGGGGTAGTGCCGCATCAAGGAAGCTCGGACAGAGTCAGGCATGGCGGCTGAGTGGGCAGCGGCATAGCTGCTGGGTGATGACCTTGAAGTGGGCAGCGGTATAGCTGCTTGGGGGTTGTCTTTGGTACCGGAGGTTGAAGCCTCAGTTGTCCGCCATAGCCTCGGCCTGTATGTGGAGAAGAAGAAGGGCTGCCATGGCTATGGTGGACCTCATCTTGTGCCTGCAGTAGAAGTGGGATTCGGACATTGATTCTGGTTCAGCTGTTCAACATTATTATTGTTTATTTATTGTTTGAATAAGAGAGGAGGAGATAAAGAGGAGGAGGTTGTTGAGCGAAGAAGAAGAGTGTTGTCTTTGGTCTATGCTGGAGTACATCATCTCTTTCTTCTTTCTTACTTCTTCTTCTTCTTCTTTCCCTCTCTCTCCTCTCAAGTTCTTTCATTTCTTTTGCAATTGGACGGCATTGGGCTCAAGTTCATTCATTTCTTTTCGCAATTGGACAACATTGTACTTTCTGATGATTGTGGACTTCAAAATTGGCCAGGATCGACAGTTAATGAGTCTGGCCAGCAACTTCAGCAGTTAAATCTGATCTGGCAGCCGAGTAGCTGAGAGCAAAATCGACAGTTAATGAGTCTGGCCAGCAACTTCAGCAGTTAAATCTGATCCGGCAGCCGAGTAGCTGAGAGGAGTACGCTAGTCAAGACCTACACAGATACGCCACAAATCACAAACAGAAGTAGCAGAAGCCAGCAGACCTATAGAGTCAGGATCTAAGTCAAGCAGGCTAACTTAGGYAGGGGTGAGGGGTGGTACATCCTTCCAAAAGGAAGTAATCAATGCCGTCCACTTGGGCCTCCCAGCCATAATGGGGAGGAGCGTATGTGTATCCTTATTGTATTCACCATAGACTTGCCGGGGGAATAGGAACCGGACTGTTGCTCCCCAGAATGGTAGGACCCAGAACCACGAGGTTCTGTTTTCATAAATTTAAAAAAAAAAAAAAAAAAAAAAAAAACCGACAAAAGAACAGAAAAGTCAAAAATAGCCTCTAGGCCCCCAAGAAAACCACCCATGGCCCAAACACTGTACGGCGGCTCTTAGGCTGTCCAAAAGACGAGTCGCACGGCCTGGGGGCCTTGGGACCATGGTCGTGTAGAAGTCCCAAGGCATGCTACAACTTTTGTGTGTGTTGTCATGTTTGCTATACACAACTCCATAAAAAAGGCATAGAGTGCTTCATCAGCTAGTCAGAAGGTCAAGTGTGTTGTGTCTGCCTTCGTTGATTGTTGTTTGTGATATTGAATGCCTTGGAATTGCTGGAGACACGGGCAATGATATGATCTGAGAGCTTTGGTGGTTCCTTTTGTGCATGCACTCAATACCCAGTTGCTGGACTTCCCCTTCTCTAAGAGGCTGGTGGATGGAAGGACGTACACAGTATGTGGGAGTCCTGAGTTTATGGCTCCTGAGATGATCAATGGCCAAGGTCATGGACAGGCAGTTGACTGGTGAGGGTACCTGGAAGCCTGAAGTATATCCTTTTCACTTCCATTCAATGTTGTGCTGCAATGACGGGTGTTTTTTGAGTGGCTTGACTCCTCGTAACGTGAATCTCTCTGTCATTCTCTCATGACCTTCCTCCCCCCC